TCTTCTAGGTACCATCTTCCCATATGGAACAAAGCTGACATGTGTGACCAATAGGAGAGGGCAGGAGTGATGTTGTGTGGCTTCTGAGCCCAGGTCACAGAAGACATTGCAGCTTCTGCCTTAGTCTCTGGGATGACTCATTCTGGGGGACGCCAGCTGCCATTTCACAAGGACACTAGTCCTGGGCTCAGTTGCATCCCCCTCCCAATTAACATGTTGAAATTCTAACCCCCAGCACCTCATAATGTGACTGGATTTGGAGACAGGGTCTTTAAAAAGATAATTAAGGTAAAATGAGGTCATCAGGGGGGCCCTGAGCCAATGCGACTGGTGTCCTTATGAAAAGAGGAGATAAGGACACAGCTGCACAGAGGGAAGATCATGTGAAGACACAGAGAGCAGATGCCATCTACAGCCAAGGAGAGACACCTCAGAAGAAACTAATCCTGTGGACACATTGATCTCAGACTTCTGGCTTCCAGAATTATGAGAAAATTAATTTTTGGTTAAGTCCCCAGTCTTTGGTACTTTGTTTTGGCAGCCTGAGCTAACTAATGCAACACTCAAGCAGCCCTGTGAGAGGTCCACGTGGAGAGGCACCAACTGTGAGTCCTGTGCGTGAGCCACCTTGAGAGCAGATCCTCCTGCCTCAGTCAAGCCTTCAGATGATTCCAGCCTCCCAGCCTTAAATCTCCAGCTGAGGCTCAGACGCTATGGAGCAGAGAGCAGGCTTCCTGCCCTCTGCTATTTAAATTTGTGTCTCACCAGAACCATGAGATGATATGTGATTACTATTGCATGAAGCTGTTAAGTTTGGGGTGATTTGTTGTGCAGCATTATTTAACCGACGCACAGATGGGCTGTGACTGAGTGAGACAGTTAACTCAGGGGTCAGGGGGAAGGCCATTTTCGGGACCTCATGTGGCCACAGATCTAAGCTGTGCATCAGCAGGGGAGCGTGTCCCAGATGACGTGGCCAAGCCTTCCCTGAGAAGGGCATAAGCTAAGGAGAGTGGCCTCAGCAGTCCACACAGACAGGTGTGGGCGGTGGCCAGAGAGGTTGGCAAGGGGGCAGGGACCAGCAGGGGCCAGAGGAGGGGAGTGGCTAAAGTCCCCTGCTCTTGAAGAGGACTGGGACAAGGGAAGGCGCCAGGAAGAGGAGCCTGGAAACAGCGACCAGAGAAGAAAGAGATGCTGTGATAGCAGGCCAGGGAGGTGATCCCAGGACCCCATATGTGGGCCGGGGCTTTCCTGCCCCAGACCAGACACCTCCCTCTGCAGGGAGAATTAAAGGCCTCCGGCCCCTCAATCAGGAGACCAACACCTACTGGAGAACACCTCCTCTGTACTTTACTTCATTTTATTTTTACAACAGCCCCTTGAGATAAGTGTTACCTCTACTTTTCACGTAAGGAAAGGGAGACTCAGAGAAGGAGAGATTGAGCAACTTGCCCATCACGTCAGTGGTAAATAACTGCTGGATTCAGAATCAGGAACATTGGCCTCCAGAGCCCCTGCCGTTCCCAGAGGGTGGAGTGATGGAAGGCAGCTTGGTGCAGGGGTCCAGACAACGTGCTTCAGAACCAGACTGCCTGCGTTCAATTCCTGGCTCCACTGCTTACTACTTTGTGACCCCGGGAAAGTCACTTAGCCTCTCTGCTTCAGTCTCCTCAGCTCTGAAGTGGAGATGACAGTATGGACCTCATGGGTTGCTGTGAGGATTCAAAGAGTTATAAGCCAAGTGCTTTGTGAGTGTTGGCCGTTATTGTTCCTTCAACTCTGCAAAATGACCTCCTCTGGTTTCAAGGGAAAAAGGATGTGATTCTCAGAAGCAGGCTGGACGTGACAGGCCTGGACTGGACATGGTACACAACCAACGTTGCTGAATTGACTGTTTATGTGTAAACGTGTCCTCTTTCCCTCTCTTCCTCTCTAATCCCAAACCAAGCAGCTCAAGTTTTTGAGAGGCTGATGGCTCCAAACGGATCCAGAACACAGGCTCCCCTTGGCACTGTGGGCTGCCCAGGGCAGAGCTCCGAGCCAGAGCTCAGGACGAGAGCCCTTCTTGGAGATGGAGCTGAACAACGACATTCTGACAGGAGCTGGGGGCTTTGGGCTATGGGTGGAGGGGTCATCAGTCTTTTGTGGACATGCTGCTTCACTCCTGCACCCACACCCCATGGAGGGCTGGGGCTCAGCAAGGGCCTGTGAGGGTGGGCTTGGGGGTTATCAGAGCAGCGTCTCCCTGAGGGGAAGGCCGAGGCTAGGTTTCCTTCTGATGCCTTCCAAGCTGAAAAGGAGCAGCTAAGTGTTATTGATCTCAGCTCCAGAGGGAAGATTTGCTAGGAGGTCGCTGGCACCAGCCCATCACTTAGCTGGTACTCATTATTCAGTGATGGGGTGGGGAGCAGGGAAGGGCTGGCATTCTGCCACCAAGCCTGGCCTCCCAAGAGATGAGGCGACGTGGGAACTGGGAGAGGCAGACAGCCGGGAAAGGGTCAAGGGTGACCCATCTCATCCTGGGAGAAAGGGTGCCTGGTGGAGGGTACTAGGAGAAATCCTACCTTGCAGGCAGCCCTGGGGCCTCTTACAGGCCCTGGAACCTTTAGCTGGAGAATGGGAAAAGAAAAGGGCCTGGTACCAGGCCAGGCCGCTCTCAGATGACCTTTGTCTACGCCGCAGTTTGCTCAAATGCCCACTGACATAAAATGTCCCACCCATTTTATAATGGCATATTGCAACGAATCTAGTCTTTACAGTGACATAAATGGTAATTAAGTCCTGAGGCCTGAGAGTGGATCAGAATAACTCACTAAACAAGATCTAGAGGCCGTGGATTTGGCCACTTCCCAATCCTGTGAGAGGCGGCCTGTGCCTTGAGCTGTTGGATTAGATCATGTTGATAAAAGTGCTCTGTAACAGGTAACACGTCAGACAAATGTCAGCTCGCACCATCACATTATTATTATTACTATCATTATCACCCTTCCAGAAATACATGTCCAGAAACATAACATAGCCTTAACAATAGCCGTGAGAAATGACGGGTGTTAGGACATGAATAAGAGTCTTCATTGCAGCAGTGTTTGGAAACAACCCAAAAGCCCACAGAATGAAGAATGGAGAAATAAATTATGATATCTTCACAAATGGAATTTTTTACAGCAGTGAAAATGAATGAACTACACATAACGGCACAGGTGAATCTTAGTAACATAATGAATGGAAAAAAGCAAGTTCTCAAAGGCTATATACAGTACAATGCCCGTTTTCTAAACTGCAAAATTAAAACTAAAGACTATATAAGGCATACATATATAGGTGATACAACTAGAAAATAAAGCAAAGAAATGATAAGCACATGCGTTAGTAAACTGGCTACCTCTGGCAGAGGAGAAGGAGGGGGCCAGGCCAGGGAAGGAACACACAGACATGTTATTCATGTTCTAGACTTGGAGTTGGATGGTGAACAAAAATGAATGAATGTGTGAATGAATGCACGACTGAACAAGCAGGTCATGCATGGGAGAATGTTGACATTGGGTCATAAGCAAGGATTCTGATTAGTCCAAGTTGAGTACCTAGAGTCCAAAATTATACCTAGAGTACAATTTTTTTTCATTTAAAGAAGAGTCTGATATTGAGTGGATATTTGGCGTTGCATCCCCAAGTTGATATTGTAGAAAGACAATAACTGTTTTCTAAGGGGAGTGGGGGTGCCTTTCTACAGCCCACTGTGCCCAGAAATATGCTTGTCACACATCCTTTTGGGGAGAGGCGAGTTGCAGTCTCTCTTACAACTTGTTGTAGGTGTGCTGAAGGATGTATAAAGTATGTATGCCATTGGGGCAGAATTTACATCCACAACTGCCACCAAATCACCAGTTAAACTCACCAACACTTAGTGTTGTCAATCATTCAAATTTTCCTCATCGTGATGGATGTGAGGTTGTATCTCACTATTGTTTTATTTTGCATTTCTTTGAAGATTAATGAGGATGAGCATCTTTTCATATATTTGTTGATCACTTGGTTATCTTTCTTCACGAATGTTTGAATCTTTTGTTCATTTTTTTAACTAATTTGTCATGATCTTATTCAATTTTGATGTTCTTTATATATTTTGTATATGAGTCCTTTTGGAGAATATAGTCAGGGTTGTCCTGGCTATTCTTGGATCTTTGTATTTTGTTTAATTTTTTAAATAAAATTTAATTATATTTATTAATGAAAAAACAAACCAAAAGCCCATGAACAGGAGAATAGATGAAAAAACTGTGGTATAGCTTACACAAAGGAATATTACACAGCAATCGAAATGAACACACCTCTGTGATACGAAGCAATATGGATGAATCTTAGTAAAGTAATATTAAGTGGGGGAAGAAAGGCTCAGAAAATTAGATACAGCACAGCATCCTTTTTCATAAGGGTAAAAGCAACTAAGATAAAAATCTGTACTTTTAGGGAATACATACAGATGAATTAACACAATATTAAAAGGAGGTAAGGAACAATGGACCTGTGATTCAGGATGGTGGCTCCCTTAGGTGGGGCCAACAGGAGGGTGGGAGGGGAATGGTTGCATAGCTAGGTGGAAGTTATTGTCAAAGTCCTAGCTTTCCCTTTGGGTGGTAGATTTATGGGTGCTTATTGCATTGTTAAAGATGTGTCAAGACATAAATGAATGAATGACTGGTGAAGAAATGTCATATGGATCAAGGATTAAGATTAATCTAATTCAGTACAGTTTAGACAAATTATACAAAAAAGGCTGAAAATGAAGGATTGAGTGAGGACACCACTGTCAACCCCTTTGTTGTGGGGCCCCTATTCTCCCCTGCTTGCGTCACCCCTGAACCAAGCAGGGGTGCCAGTGTCAAGAAGAATAGTGTATATTAGTAAAGCTTAATTTCTTTTAAATTTGTTTTTAGAAAAATAAATACAAATGGAAGTTTAATTTTTTTCTTCCTACACCGCCATGCATCTTGTGTATTCCCTGGGGTGTATACGTGCCTCTGCCCTAAGCAAATGGAATTTTAAACCAACTGTCATTTTAGATGGATCACCCAGTTGGCATGTGGACGTCTGCTATTCTCTTGAGCTTTTAAGAGGCTGTTGATATACTTCCAGTCAGAGAGGACAAGAGCCTCCAGGGTGGCCTTGGGAAAGGAAAGAGTCAAGGAATTGGAGAGGTATTTAAGAGAAGCAGTTTATAGGACTTCATTTCCATAACAGCAGAACATCTGGGAGGTAAAGAACTATGTATTCTCCACCAGCAACTGCCATTTCTCTTGGCGCCAGAATCTCGATTTGCTCTAAACTCCTCAGCCTGTCATCGTCCTACAGAACGTTGACACCTTTATATGGGTCCCAGGGCAATTACAACCTTATATCTGCTTCTCACTCACAGATGGACTAATTGGTGGTGCCCTCCCTGCTGACAGCCCTCAGATGTTGAAGGGAAATCAGGCAGCCTTTGATGGGTACTGATGCTGCTGAAATCTGGAGGCTGGTGTGGCTTGGGGGTGGGGTTTGCATTTCAGGGAAGCACGATACAGCTGCCTCTCAACATGTCTGTTCTGCCTCCTCTGACAGCAGCCCATCCATCAATTATCTTGGATCTTTCCACAGGCTGACTTTTAATTGAGAGCTTCTGATGGATTCTTGAGTGGGTTTAGAGGAACCACGGTCCTAGAAGGTAATTTGGCAATAGGAAAGTTCTCAAGCCTTAGGATTTGGGGGAAGAAGACCATATGTTAGGGGAAGGCTTGAAGTATTTTGGGCTAGAAAATCACATGCTCCCTCAGGGACAAGAAAGGCTTGCCTTGTTGGGACACCAAGTCAACCACCTGCTCCTCCTCGCTGAGGCTTATTTTCATACTTGTAACATGAAAGTGTAGAACTAGATGAGTCTTAAAGCCTGGGCAAAAATGCTGCTGCAAAGAAAGCAAGTGACATCACGGCTAGGCAACCTGGCACCACCACTTGGGACTTGTGTGAGCTTGAATGAGTCATGAACTGTGGGGAGTCTGGGTCCCCTGACTGCTAGTGGTCTTGACCTTATAGATGGGGGATTATGTAAATGAACATCTATGACAACACCTGGCACATAGGAGACCTCACAGAACATCACTTTTTTAATTTACTGTTTCATTGCCAAAAGGAAGAAATGGGGGCCTGGGCTGGAGATGAGTGAGTCTGCAGGATTACAGACCTAATGTGGCTCCTGCATGCCTGTGGCCTGCTAGAGCTGTTCTCTCCAGCTAGATTTCTCTCCCCTGGCCCCGGCCTGAGCTGGGAAGAGGTGGACTGACAAGGAGGTTGCATGGCATAAAGGAGAGATCTGGGGCTCTGGAGTTGGAAACTGGGGACAAGTTATTTATCTCGCTAGCTGCAGTTTTCCCACACATGAAACTAATGATTCCTAGCCCATGGGGTTGTTGTGAAGGATAAAATGAGATAGCGTACCTAAAGCTCCAGGAACACGGTAGGTGATCTCTCAATGTGTGGTGACTTCCTATCCACCTTCTCAGCCTTCCCCTTAGACTAGACTCTTGGGACTCCTTGAATTTTTTTCTTTGGAGTGGAGATTCTCTGAGTATGCTTCTGGCCACAGAGGCCCTGAGAAAATTCATCAAAAATCAATTCATGAAATGACAACTCATCACTTTCGTTTTGCCAAATGGCAATTTGGCTTCCCATCAACTGGGTCTTGGGGAAATTGCTTTTGGCAAGTGAGCCAGCCTCCCAGAGGGATTCTCTAGGTGGACTGGGCTGCTCCGGATGCAAGTTCAATGAGTCCTCAGCTCAGTAGTGGGAAGGTGTGCTTTCAGCATTCGATGTGGGAAGTTGAGCCCTGCAGTCTGCAGCTGACATCCAAGCCATCTTTTCCTCTTTCTGCTTTGGCCACGACTGTGGCCGTCACCAAGAAGAGGTTCTTGACTGAGAGGAGCGTGGCTGCTGACGGGGAAACTGAGCCAGTTGGACTGGCACACCAAGTCTCTGGGAAAGAAAGACTGTTTGATATTCCTGGTGTTTGTCTCCAGGCCCCTTGGGTCGCTTTCCTCTTCTCCTCTAACCTCTCTTTTCACTGCAGAACAAAAGAGAAAGGGACAGGTAGCAGATGGAGGCAGAAGGTGAAGATAACAGCTGTGGGAGGTGGGAGGATAGAAGCTCTTGTCTTGAAGAGGCATCTGAACCCTGAATTCCCCTCTTAAGGGTCAAGATTCTTTGACTGCAAGCAAAGGAAACAAATTAGTTAATTCCCCTAAAGGGAGCTCCCAGCATGGAAGGGAGGATGGAGAACCGGGCTTGGGGATAGGTGAGAATCAAGGCAGTGCCCAGAGGCACGGAAGCAGCCACCATGTGGTCAAGATGCAACTGCAGCCAATTGTTTTCAGTCTCTTTGTTCCGATGCTCAAGATCCAAATTCCAGAGAGGCGCATCCTACAGCATAGTTTGCATTACATGCTCTTTCCTTGTCTGGAAAGGATGGAGCTTCTAATGACCTAGCCCCCAGGCTGTACCCAACGGAGAAGAGGTAATTCCAGTCCAGGAACTGAGCTGAAGAGAAAGTAGATAGTAGGAAGCCAGAAAATACAAATCATGGCAAATAGGCTTCTAGCGTTTAGAACGTGCTAGACACTGTTCGAAGTGCATTACATGTATTAACTCCTTTAATCCTCCTAGATAGGCGATGAGGGTATTAGCATGCCCATTGCACAGATAAGGAAACTGAGATGCAGAGAAGGGAAATCTTCTGGCTGGTGAGTGGTGGGGCTGGGATTTGAATCAGAGTCTGGTTCTTAGCGCCTGTGGGATGCTGCCCACTTTGCTGATGCTCACCTGAAACGCAAGCTTGGGAGAATCAAGGAATTTCGTAGTATAAAAGAAGGCTGGTTTGCTTAGGGTTTCCAAGAGTAGAAGAAAACTGAAGATGCCTAGCAATCCCACCATTCTGGTCTCCCAATCCCCAAGGGCCCTACTGTCAACCTCTACTTGAGCATCTCTGTTCCTCTGCTCAAGGGCAGCTGGCCCTGCGAAGGAGGTGGGCAAAAGGAGGGGGGTGCAGAAGGTCGACACAAGCTTGATTTAACAAGCCAAGGAAAGGCAAGGTATTGCACAGAGGTAAGATTTAACAAAAGGAGAACTAAATTGACATTTTATTGACTTGCAGTGGGAGTTGTTAAAGACAGATTACTGCACCAAGAGTAAAGTTTGATTGAGAGGCTGGGAGAGGACTCAGCCATCCAAAGCTTCCCTTGAAGGCCAGTGATACCCCAAGGGGCAAGGTGAGTACATAAATTTGAGGTCACACACGGATACTTGCCATCATACACACACACCCCTACACCATCACTACCACCACAAACAAAATCTGAGCTTCTCCCTTAGCTCCCAGAGACCAGGCCCGGAGACACTGGGTGGAGTGGAGGTGAATGAAGGCCCAGCGTACTACATTTGACTCTTACTACTACCCTCCCCACCCCAACCCGATTTATCCCTGGGCCCACTGGGAGCTTCAGAGATGGAGTTCCTCAGACTCTAAGGAAGAAATAGAGTCTTGAGAAAGCACCTCATTGCTTTTGGTAAAAAAACGATCCCGTCTCAAAGGCCTCTCTCCAGGGACTCCCTGCACGCTGATGGCTCTGTGCAGAGACGCAGCTTCCTAGGGAGCATGGAGGTCTGCTCAGGACAGCATGGCACTCCGCGATTTGCCTTAGCTGAGGGGTGTGGTGGGGGGGCACCCAGGGAACCTTGAGACGGCAGAACAGAGGGACATGTGCGGAGGGGGAGAAGGGCAGGGACAAGGCTGGATAATAAGGAGCAGACTGGCCTGGATGGCCCCTCAGGGATGACACGACCTTGGTCTCTTCCTTCACAGAAGTTTTGGCACGCGGGTCTGGATTCTAGTGTGGGTGATGGTGACTCCTGTCCCAGGAAGCCTTTTCTCTGTGGGCCCCTCACTCCCTCATGCGTTGCATCCTCCACTCCTCCCTCCTGAAGCTGTGAGGGGCCGGGGTCAGTGTTTGAATTGCCTCTCTCTTCTCTGTTCTGCAGCTAACGACGCATGTCTGGGAATTCTTCCAATGGCTCTCCTCCTTTCCTTAGCCCCTGCCTCTGAGGCAGTGGCTGTGTCCAATGGAGGACTCATGACTTCCATCTGTAAGCTCTCCCTCCCAGTTAGTCCACTGTCTCCCTGGGGAGAGCCAATGCACATCAGAGTATCAGTATTAAAAACAACTTCTCAGCTAGATTCCTCTCAGACATCTAGTACATCAAAATCCCTCTCACCCTAATTCCTTTTCCTCCTCTCTCCCTCCGCCACTGGGACTAGGTTCTTCTCTTAGCTCTTGGGGTGCCTTCTGCATCCCCCCGGCCCCCTCTGTACCCTCCATGTTCCGGTTCCAGGTTCTTCCTGGACTGAGCAGTAGGGGAAAAGGAGCATCTGGTTTAGCAAAAGATTTGAAGGTGACCTTCATCGAGCCCTAAGAGAGATAACAATCTCTCTGCAATCAACGAGCCTGGCTCCTCTGGATACCAAAATAGCAACTGTGGAGTAAGTCTGCCCCCTCCACCTCCTTCCCCTCCCTTTTTCTTCAGGACAACACAAAGAAACTCTAGGGGTGAACTGGGAAATCACAGTATCTTCTAACAGCCTGAAAGCCTGAAAAGCAAGTTCCTGTGTATGTGTATCTGCGGCTCATCGGTACAGAAAAGCTAATTATCTCAGCGCTGTCGCCACCACCTTGCATTCAGCAAATTCTGTCCTTTCGATTGTGATCTTATCGGTCCTATCAATAATCCTGAGTTCATAGAGGGTCCAGAAATGGTGCACCCATTCTAGGTAGGAGGGAACCAGGGTCCCAGGCCTGCCCAGGGTCACCCAGGGACGGAGTTCCCAGAGCAAAAGATGACAGTCTGCTTCCTAAGAGTTCCTGTGGTAGATTTCCACTGGGAATGGCATGTGTTCTCAGGACTTGATTGCCAGACCTCAGGAACATTTGCTATTGGGATGATTATTTTATAGCAATCTTAACAACCTCGTGCTGGCTCCCACCCTATTCCTCTACTCCCTGGGCTGAGCCCTGAGCTGTTTTGAGCGACTGTTGCAGCACCCAGTGGGCGGTTATCAAGGTAGGAACATATGGAGTGGGGAAGGAAAGATCCTCCACTCTACGGCGTTTGGGGAGGGGAGTGAAGACGGCATTTGTCAGGGTTGGAGTTAGCAGGGATATGGAACATGTATTTACATATGGCGGCAAATTGCTGATGGGAAAGAAGAAGCTGGCAAATGGGATGACTCATCTAGAGATGAAAAACACAATATCTGAAATGAAAGATATACTGGATGGAATTACAGTGAGTAAGATGTTATAGAAGTAAAGATTAGTCAACTTGAAGAATAAAAATGATCCAAAATTACATAATGAAACTGGGAAAAGAAGAGCAACTCACCAAGAAAACATAAAAACCCTCAATGCATCTACTCCTAAAAATACAGCTTCAAAATATATGAAGCAAAGATGAGAGAACTGAAAGAAGAAATAGAAAACCCCACAATTACAGTTGGAGACTTCAATAACCGTTTCTCAAATTTTAGAGAACAACTGGAGAAAAAGTCTGTAAGGATCTAAAAGTCCCAGCTGCATCTGGGAGGCATGAGGCAGCTCTGCCAGCTGCACCTGAGCTCTGGAATGTCAGTCATGGCCATCTTTCCTGCTGAAATGTTCACAGATAGCTGGGGTAGGATGCCTCTAACATCGTCCCTCATTGCTGTTTCTGGACATCTGAAAAGCTAGTGGCAGAGGGCTTTGTAAGGCCAAATTTCAAATGCAGGGACCCATAATTAGAGGCTGCAGTCCCAAGACAGTCTCTTATAAAGCCCAACCCCCTTACCTTGTGTCATGGATTGAGCTGTGTGCCCCTAAATCTCTTGTGTTGAAGTCCTAACCCCCAGCATGTGACCTTACGTGGACATAGGGTAGTTGCAGATGTAAGTAGTTAAGGTGAGATCATACTGGAGTAGAGTGAGCCTCTGACCCAATATGACTGGTGTCCTTATCCAAAGGGGAAATGTGGACACAGACACACACAGGGAGAAGGCTCTATGATGATTGGAGTGACGCTGCTACAAGCCAACGAACGACCAGAAGCTGGGAGAGAGACCTGGGAAAGACCCTTCCCTGGCGCCTTCAGAGCAGGCATGCTCCCGCTGACACCTTGATTTCAGACTTCCGGCCTCCAGAACTGTGAAACAATGTAGTTTTGTTGTTCTAAGCCACCCAGTTTGTTATGGCAGCCCTTGTGAACCAACACAGCTCAGCTCTGGCCCCAGCCTCCCTTTCCAGTACTATCGTCCACCCCTCCCCTGCAGGAACTCGTGCTCCACAACACTGGTGCCCAGGCAGTTATTTGTGGAATAACCTGCTGCATGGTTGTCTACTGGCCAGGTTCTCAGATTGCACCCAAGAGACACACGGAGCATCTGGGAATGTGGGGAGGCCGGGAAAACCACCCATTCAGCAGCCCATCACCTGTGTCCTATTTGTCCCGTCCTAGCATGTGTAGAGGCTCCACAGAGGCCCTGAGGGTGGCCTCCTCAGGGAGCACCCTGATCTTAAGTGATTTTTCTTCATGGTAGTTTCCAGAAGAAGAGTATGATGGGTCAGTGACTCTCACTCAGAGTGACACTCATCTCCTGGGCTCGGTGAATGAGTTAACATTCACAAAACCCTCAGAACTGGCCGGCACATAGAGACGGCTATAGAAGTGTTGACCCATCTAAGAGATGGCTTCTCTTGAGTTCTAGCTTTTACATGATTGCTTTCTGTTCACACATGGAGCCTTGGTCCAGTTCTCAAGTTTGATGTCCCCTCCTTAACAAGCACCCTCAACGGATGGAGGCTAGCCAAAGAGAAAGTATGGAAACCCACTTGGACCCCTTTTCCTAGTCAGAAGCTGTGTATGTGGCTGGTTATAAAGGCTGGATGGATTCCTCACTACACCCACTAAAAATAAGTAAGTAAATGAAAGAAACTCTGGATGGATGGATGGATGAACAGATGGATGGATGGAAGGATGGATGAATGGATGGATATAAGAGTTTCTTTTGATCCAGGTAAGAAGGTAAAGTGAGGAGGAATTGCATGAAAGGTGTGTACATGTCTGGAGAGAGGAAATTTTGGAGGATGTAAGTCTATGCTTGTGTGTCCTTTGGCCCTCCTCAATTCAGGACTATGTGATAGATCAAGATTTTATAGGTTTAATGTTCCCTCCCACCACCGTGTGCTTTACATCTGTATAAAGGGAGCTACAAATCTTTCCAGGCAGAACGTGGCTGGGCCCTGCCTTTCTCCCCTTCTCAGTGAGATCTGACTTGGAAACACAGCTGAACAGTCCATGATGAATCATAGCATCTGTGGAACAGCCCAGATAAGGAACAATTTGCATTTTCATGTGATAATTCGCTACTCTCTGCATTTTCAAATTACCTTTAGAGCCACCTTAATTCTGTTTCCATAAACCACTGCTGTGTGCCCAAGTCACCAGGAGATGGGGACTCCAGGGGCAGGTTTGTTTGGCTTTACAGGAGTGGGAAGGTCTCCTTCTCTGTAACAGGGGTGTAAGAAACCGAGCTGGCCATGGAGAGCATCTCTCGTAGTAGCTCCCCTGGGGAAAAATTGTAGCTTCAAACCTATCTTGCATTTCCATTCTCTCTGTCTGTGTGTTGCTTGGTTGAAAATAAAGTAAACATAAATGGCTCCCCCTACTCCGCTGCCTCACAATGCGGAGGAGACCCCGCCTCAGGTGCTCCTGCTCCCTCTCTGCTTCAGGAAGTATGGCATTGAGCGAAGTTGATGGCAGCAGAACCTATGGCTCCTGCAAACAGGGTCTTCTGAGGAAAGGGTGGTCTTGGAAGAGCTCCCCTGAGGCTGGAGGAGCTCCCCAGCCCTCTGGAGGAAACCACTGTGTGATGCGTGTCTGCCTGCTTCTCGGTGTCACAGCTACTCTGAGAGGTGCCCTGTGGCTGAGGGGACTGGTCTGTCATCCAGACATCGGGATCCCTGGCGGAAGGGGGAGAATCGACCCTGATCTCTCAAAGATGTGCTCCTTCTACATGATACCTCCAGACAAGACACTTCAGAGTCTGCCACCAACCCCTCCTCAGTTTCTCCTAACTTTCACAACCCAGGAAGTTCTATATACTCATCAGAAACCCTTCTTGCTGCAGTGCGAATCCATTTCCTTGCCCCAAAGCAGAGACCAGTCATTCTTGCACTCTTGAGTCCACACATGCCTGCATTTCTTAAACAAATTCTCAGAATGCTATCAAATAAGTTAATGAGGAGCCTTGTAAAAATGAGAATAATTTCTGTTTCTCTGTCCTAATTTACATTTGTCCATTTCCTGAGGTTCCATTCTATTAAATTTTAATTTGCTCCCTTCTCATCCCCAGGCTTTTAGAAGTCTTACGTTGGAGTTTTTTCACACAGTTGGAGTCTCTTGGGTTCTGATGGATTAACTTAGGGGCAGGCAAGATATATTTGGTCCCTAGAAGTGATTTCTAGATTGCCCAACCAACTGCTCAGGGGAGACTTGTCTAAGGGAGAGGGCACGAGTTGGCATGATGGTAGAGCGGTGATAATTTCTTTAAGCTCTATTTATTTCTGTTCTAGTACTCTTTGCATCCCAGTTTGCAGCAGGTGTGTTTTGAATGACTCTCTTCTGTGAAATCTCTCAGTTTCTGGACTCGTGAACTGAGGGCAGGGGCTGGGGGCTGGGGCTTCAACCCCACTCTCCTACTTGTATCTTTTAAATATATGAAGAAAGCATGGAAAGGTGGAACTCTTTTGGCTCCTTGGAAAGGAGCATCAGGAAAAAAATCTATTAGATTGAACCACATAAAATCGCCACTTTTAAAGGTCAAAAGTAGTTGAATATTGCTGATTTCATATGGTTCAATCTAGTACAATCAAACCTCATTAATTTAGACTAATTTGAGGAAGCATGGTGTGAGTTTGCTGGAGTGTGGAAAAAAAGTCTGAATTATGACATCATTTTAAAGAGATGCAACTTTATTAGATTCAAGTGCTGACGGTAACAGGAAATAGGTCAACAGACGAAGGCCCCCTACAAGTCCGTGGAAGGATGTCCTTGGTTAATAAAGGCGATTTCTAATGAACCTACAAATATGTTGGCTAAAGGGTGCTTTAATCTAAGGTGTACTTGAGAATGCTTGAGAAGTTTATTCTTTTAAGCAGATCAGTAAATTCTTCTGATTTACATGTCTGATTAATTTCTTAATTCTCCCTCCAGAGAGAGCAGTTATATGGCTGAAGTTTACTTGTCTGAATTATTTCTTATTCCCAAACAGTGGGTCCCAAATTAATGATGCTTGACTGCTCTATTCCTGACCTTGAGGTTGGACATTAGGTTAATGAAAATCAATGCCAACCAGACCTCAAGTATTGAGGAGGGGGAAATATATTTGACAAAAACATATGTGACTTGAAAAATGAGGCTGGTTTTCTCACACGGCTCATAGACTGGCTCTGACGGCCATTTCCGAGGCGAAGTTCCAACAGAGATCAGGGAATAGCAGCGAGTCAACAACA